CTGGGACTCAGTCCCCAGCAGTGTGTCCTCGTCACCTGGGCTACAGCAAGCCTGCACAGAGATGAACTCCCACACACACAGCTGCAGCAGAGGCAAGCAGCGCCTGCAACCCAGGATGGCAGATGATCAGAATCAGCTTGATGCCCCATCCCTCCCTCTCTTCCCATGGCTGACTACAGATCCTGGCCCTTGAGTTGTGGCTCCCACGTGACATCCCTCTTCCTTGCACTTTCATCCTGTTTCTGCCCAGCCCTTTGGGATTGGTGATGCTGCTTTGCAACTGGGCTGTGATTTATCTTTGGGTTCTCAGTCAGGCGCTCTGCAGTTCCCAGAGATAAGGGGGCTCCACCTCAGGGGCTAGTCTGAGGACCAGGGGAGGTGGGGACAGAAGGGAAATGCTAAGTGGAAGCATGAGAACAGGAGGGCAGGTAGGGTGGAGGTGGTGTCTGGAGACTGGGAGAAGGGCTTACAAGTTGATGGGACAGACAGTGGGGAACCATTGTGGGTTCCTTAGCAAGGGAACAGGCAGGATGAAAATACTCTTTGCAGGAAATTCATCCAGGGGACTCTCCTGGAGTAGGGAGAGATGAGAGTCAACAGAGTAGTGGCTTCTGGTATTTTTGGAGAACTTATTCCATGGAACTTCCTTAAGTGTGTGCATCTCAATGTATGCTTTAGCGTGCATCATTCCTAATTTTTCCAGCCTCCCTGTGGGGTTGCTGATGTAACACCTCCCTGCAGATGTGAGAACTTGGCCAAGAGCCCCTAAATTGAAATGGACAGAAATAAGATTGAAATTCTGGCCTCTCTGTCTAAACACCCATCGTCTGTCCTGCTGCTTTGCTTACCAGGAGTCTGTGCCACCAGGTGGCTGTTGACATGGCCCCTGGGTCAAGAGATGAGGACATGAGTTAGAGCAACATGGTAACCATGGAGGGGACAGGAAAAGGAAGATGTGGCTTGAAGAAGAAAGAGCCAGCACATCTGGATGATTCCAAATATTCTAGCCTGGGAATTGAGGTGAAGTGGACCAGTCAGGAAGGGAGTGCCTGGGAAAGAAGTCTGGTTAGGCTGGAGAGTGTTGAGCTGGAGGTTTCTGGGGACATCTTGATAGAGATGTCCAGAAGTGGATGTACAATATGGGACTGTCTTGTACGGTATAGATTGGGGGAAGGACAGCACAGTGGTAAGAGTTTGGGCTTTGATGTTGAATATGAATGGGTTCAAATTTCTGCCCTACCACTTGCTGATT